CCAAGCAAGTGGATCTGAGCCTGAAAGAACAGGGAGCCGCTCGCTACCTGCCCCCTCAAGTGGAGGGCAATGGCCACGAGCGAAACCAAATGTACTTCAGCAGCCCAAAACCTCACAAGCACATCTGGAACTCTGGATGTCTTCATCCCTAGCCACTTTTCAGACAAGCATTAGTGGTTCTCAATCCTGTTTGTCACTCAAAACTGAAAATTAGGAGTAATGGAAACTTGATGTGCTAGGCATGAATCTAGACCCCTGTGCATGCTGAGCACACATTGCCATTGAGACTGATTCACAGCCCCCGTTCATCTGAGACTTGTCTCCAAGGTGTCCCAGCCTGGCCTCAAATATACGATCCCTGTTGCCAATGTGTGCCACCTTGCCTGGCTTGGGATTCCTCTTTTAACAACACAGTATTCACAGGAAGGTCATACCTAGAAAGAGAATCTCAGTTTGCACACACACAGCTGTGGGGCAGCCCTGGGACTTGCTCCATGTGCCCTTACTTTACGGTGAGTGCCCTCAATCCCACTGGATGTGCTGGGGAGGTTGTAGTGTTAACTCACTGAGTGACTCTGTGCCCAGCTCTCCCTCCATGCAGCCCCATGCTGCTTCCAGTCTGCTGTGGGAGAAGCAACATAACCAGAGCCATAACATAACAATTATACAACATAACATACACACATAACATGGCCAGCTTAATGGTTGGGTGCTGTAAGGAAAATGCTGTTAAAAACTGACAGGAGGGGGGCAGCAGTGGGCGTCCACAAAGGCTAATGATGGGTTCCCTCAAGCAGCCACATGACAGGGAGGCTTTGATTTTTGGCAATGAGTTGTTCAGGCCTTGGACCGCCCAGTGTTCCAAAAACAAAACAAAACAAAAAACAATTCTGAGCCTTTGCCTTGGAGAAACACTCCTACAGGGACTTGCCTGGGACTCACACATGCTTGCTTACACTGGTCCTGGGATGTAGCCAGTAGGCGATGTTGGTGTCCAGGGTGACCCACTCCAGCGGGGTGGAGCTGTACTTGTGTTCAGAATCCTCATTCTTCAGTGTCAGCATCTTCCACTGTCACAGAACAGAGCACAGGTTACAGAGGATGATCAAGCCACCAGCTGCCACGATGTCAGTGTGGACTAAAACTACTGTCCCTTGTATGTCAACTGCCCAGACTAAGTTTATTGGCAAGTGCTGCATGGGGGCCCTGCACACTAACCTGGGCTATGCTGACTTCATGGCTCTACAGACTAAGTGACAGGAGTCATGCCATGGACTCTCCAAGTCTGCCTGACTTACCTAGGGCTCTGCTAGTTGAATGTAGCCCGTTTTGACCCGATGGGAGGTCTAAAGACACCTTGACATTGCAATGTCACACTGATGCAGAAACCCCTTGTCCCTGACTACTAGGCAAAGGTTCATGGGGCCTGAGAAGGGATAGATACTCTTCAGAGTCTGAAGTCTGGGTTTGAGGACTAGGAACTTCAGAGTTCAGCAGCACACAGTGCCTTCATGGGTAGAAATCAGCTCCCAATGAGAAAGGACGGTGTCCCCCCAGCCACTTGTCACCTGTAGTTCCGAGAATCTGGCCATGAAGCTGAGGTTCCTGTTAATATCAACCTGAGTAGGTGAATGCAGCTCCAGCTCCCTCTCCTTCTGCTCTTGGCCTGACCGTAGACACCAACAAAGACAGTGAGGCTCAAGAGCTGAGGACACAGGTTCCCCCCAGGTCTTTCCAATGACACCTCACCAGACTGCATCATTCCACTTGGTTGCCACCACACCCCAAATTCTCCTGCCAAGTCAGGGCTAGTGTACCCTGGGATACATAATTGCTATTCCCCCAGCCCCCTCCACAGCACAAACACCTCATATAATCATGGATCAGTGCAAGGGACTCAGCCAATCTTGGAGGGGCTTAGGTCCCTCCAAACCAACAGTGCTGTTTGGTATTTCTTGGTGTGCCATGACATCCATAGACAACCAAAATCTATGACCCAGGGCTTCACTGACTCACTTGTGCCATACCGGTGTTCCTCCACATTCCACACCATGCTCTCGTGGTGGCCTCGTGACTTCTCCCCAACCACCTCCAACTGCCGAAATCCCCAGTCAGGGAGGTGAGCCCCGCTCAGCTGGCAAACCAAGAAAGGAAATGAGCATGACACGAAGCTGCTAGCCCCAGCAGAAGTGTCCGCAGACCCCTGCCCACAGCCCTCCCAGGACTCTTTACCACGGTGTGAACTATAAACACGGGATGACTTTCATCACATGGCTAGCCTATGTGAGCACAGGTTGCCCAGGAGCTACCCTTTACCTTCAAGATGGCAGACGTGTTCACATGCATGAAGCGCACTTCCGACAAGATGGTCTTCCAGGTATCCCGGCTGGACTCTCTGTTCACAATGTCCTGCAGAAGGAAATCTTGTCAGCCCAGGGGCCAATGGTGGAGTACTTGCCTAGCATTTGTGAGGCCATCCCCAGCACCACAAACCAGGATAAACCTAAATATACCCTTTTCAGATTGCTTTAAATGTCATACTAAAGAACAGATACCATCACTTCTCCGCTTTTTGCCTAAGAGAAGACCAATCACACAGGTATGAAACCAGTGTGGGTCTTGGCTAGGGTGGTAAGTCCTGAAACAAAAGAAGCACAGGATGCTAGCTAGTCCTTAGCCTTGGTGCCATGGACACTCCATGACCTCACTAGCCTTCATAATACAGCATTTGAGCCAGCCTCAAGGAAAGAGCACTGTCCCTATCTGAGGCTGCAGGAAACACTCAAAAGCCATCTAGTCAGTCACAAGAGGACTCAAAGCTCTAGCCAAAATGGGGAGTTTCTTAGACTTTATCTGGCCAGTGTAAGGTGGTTCTAGAGGTCAGGACCCTGCCTCCCCCTACCTTACCCCCAGACTGGCTCAGGGAGGGTCCTGGCTGGTAGCACTTTGCCTGTTAACAGCCTGATATGCTAGAGCCTCAATGATGGTTCATGATGAGAACCACAGATCTCAAAATGCTGAGAGGGGCCAGGCAGTGGTGACCCACACCTTTAATTCCAGGACTTGGGAGGCAAGTGAATCTCTGTGAGTTTGAGGCCAGTCTGGTCTACAGAATTAGTTCTACACAGAGAAAACCTGTCTCAGAAAACCACACACACGCACGCATGCACGCACGCACGCACGCACATGCACAATGGAAAAAAAAAAAAAAAAAAAAAGGCTGAGAAAGGGCAAAAAATCCTGAACTGGGTGGCCACTCCTGAGACCTCAAAGGGCTGCCAGGAAGTGGGCAGGGGAGGGGATCAGTAAAGGAGCCATTAGTAGTATGGTGGCAGGGAAGCCAAGGAGACTCAGCGCCATTGCTACTGAGATAGCTTCCCACGGGAAGGGGCACAGGACTGTGTCTTCAGGCAGGCCTGCTCAGGAGAGGCCGGAGAACAGAATGGCCCTCAAGATGCACAGCACAGACAAGGGGAAACAGGGCAGACGTGCCTAAGAAAAGCGGCCTCAGACAGCTTTGCTGAGGCAAAGCCAAAGTGGTGGGCGGGAAGCTGAGTAATCAAGGATGCTGCAGCCAATCACAAGCTAGGGTGGTATGACCTCTACTCCTTGGAAATGACCCCAGGCCTGCAGCGGTTCAGGACTCAGTCCACGGGCCCAGTAATGTAACACTTTCTGCACAGCAACTTTTCCAGAAGACCTGACTCTGTAAGGGGAGCAAGTGACTGTCACCAGAAGGGAAGGTGACTGTAGACCGCTGCCTCAGTAAAATTGACCTCTAATGGCCAAGCTCCTCACCAGGCAACTGCTTGGGCTCCTCTTACTCATATTAACTACTGAGAATTGGCTGAGAATCCTCCCCTGGGCCACAAGAGTGGATCTCATGTCTGTGGTGGAAGGGTGTCCTAATCAACACGACACAGCCTAGAGTCACCTGAGAAGGGAGTCCCAACTGAGGGATTGCCCAGATCAAACTTTCCTGCTGGCATAGCTGGGAAGGATTGTTATTTAATGCAGAAGGTCCAGTCCACTGTGGGTGGTATCATTCCCTGGGTAAGGTGATCCTGGGCTGTACATGAAAGCTGGCTAAGCATTAATCTGGGAGTGAGCCAGTGAGCCAGCATTCCTCCATGGATTCTTTAAGTTCCTGCTTGACTTCCTGCCCTGACTTCCCTCAGGCATGGACTGTTGACTAACCCTTTCCTTCAAAGTTGCTTCTGGTCAGGATACTTGTCATAACAACAGAATGAAACAAGAACAAATGAACAGGCCAGGAAGTAGGTCCAGCTACAACAGCCTCTGACCCCAAAGGCCATCACAGGATTTGGAATTTTCCATCCCCGAGGCACCAGAGGGCGCTAGACCTGATGAAGTCACAGCTCCGGATAGGAACATCTCAGACCTGCTTTGTGAATACAAGCTCCCTATCCCATTTTCCATCTGAACCCTTTCATTGTTCAGAGGGGCAGAGATCAGGTGTGGCCCACTGGCTGGCCACACTCCACATGGAACTCACCAGCCTCCAGAGGTTCTGAGCAGGCATGGAGATGTTATAGTCGATGTAACAGGAGACTTCTTGAGAGTGAGGACTCAGTGGGGCTGCAACATCATGCCTGCAAGAGCATGTGTTCCTTAAGTGTCATAAGGGAAGAAGCTGCTTTTAACACAGAGCTGGCTCTGCCTGCCGAGACTGGGGGAAGCTGGCATCAGAAGTCACACATCCAGGGAAAGGGAACTCTGAAGTAGAAAAGTCTACTTCAGAGTTCCCTCATCAATGTGACACAGCCTGGAGTCATCTACCAGAGTCTCCACTGAGGGACTATCCAGATGGACTGTCCTGTTGGCGTATCTGTGAGGGAGTGTCTTGACTGTGTTTGTCCAGAGTTGATGTAAAACAATCAGATTCATGTCAGGTTTTGGACAGGTGAAGCAAATCGCAGAGAAAAGAATGGCTGCCATAGCAAGTATGAGTCTAAGAACTGGCCCTGGGGTGTGACTGGCCTGGCAGAACTCAGAAAGCAGTGTTGTCAGCCTTGAGTCAGCAAGTGCAGAGTGGCGTGCTGCTGGGAGAGCAGGCTCTTGTGTGATTCAGCCTTAGTGGCCAGAAGTAGCCTGTCACCTTCTCCTTAGGCAGGAGTCGCTTCCTCACAGGATGCCCCAGGCACCCTGAGGAGCCCAGTGTGAGCAGACATTCCTGGTAGCCCTCTTGACAGCAGCATGCCAGCACTGTGGGTAGTGAACTGCCAGACAGAGTGAGCGCTGGGCTAAAAACCCATGCAGGAGCTTTCCAGCAGTAAAGTAAGTGGGAGCCCAGAGGTGCTGTCTGCTGACTGCAGGACTAGCAGGGAGGCCAAATGACCATGTGACACAAGTCAGGGTCACTGAGAGCCTCAGAAGAGCTGAGGAATTCAGTAGAGAGAGAGGGCGGGCTGTGGGCAGAGAAGTGATGAAGCCCATTGTGTCTTCTCAAGGGTGGATGGAGTGTGGGCTCAGTGGAGTACAGTAGAGGCGGGAAGCCAGGATGCAGGAAACAGGCTGAGTGAGAGGAGAGGCCCTGATAGAACAAGCATGGCAAACACTCACGTGTTAAGGAGGCGGGTGGTCATGCCGTGAACAAGCTGTACAATGTCTCCATGGCGTACAGGCCTGGGAGGGTTGTTTACCACCAGCTGATGTCTAGGAAGACAACACTGTCAGGATGGCACTCAGTCGAGCACCTTCTTACCATAACTCTCTGGGAATACCGAGGCTCCTGAGTCGCCCAGCAGACACTGGAGAAGTGATGTGCACCCCCCACACATAAACTTTGTGTGAAGCGACTTTGTGTAGAACCAAGGCACTTATGTTTCATTTAACTCTTCTCAACCTAAGGTCACTTTCCAAATTGCCAAATGTGACTCCATTTGCCAATGTCACATTTGTTTATGAAGAATGAACTAGATGCAGAAAAAACAAACAAACAAAAAACCTTATGTTGGCAACATACTCTTTTTTCATACTTCCAAAAAAAAAATAAATAAATAAAAATTAAGATACCTGTAATCCTAGCACTTGGGAGGCTGAGGCAAGGGGATTGGGAGCTTGAGGCAAGGCTTGGCAACAAGGAGAGATGCTGTCTTAAGAAAGAAAAAACATACACCAAAACCAACCAAACAAAAAAAGCCATCTAAACTGTTAAAACCTATCAAGTCCCCCAAACTGGACCAGTGCTGTGTAAATGACAGGCCAGATGGGCCAGAACAGCCTCACTTCCTCACTCACTGCAGTGAGTTGGAAGAACAGACTTGCAGGTGAGCAACTATATAAAGGATGAACACAGGCTAGCCTGGGGAGAAGTTATGGGAGAGGAGGGTACACCTTTAGATGGACTGGCCTAGGAGGCCTTCCCAGGGATCCAGCCTTCTCAGTGCTGGCAAGAACGGTGAGTGCAGAGATGGCAAAGGGCCTGGTAATGGTAATTGTGCCACTGGAGGCTATGGTCAGAGCCTCTAGGGCAGGAACTAGAGTCTAAAGGCCAAGGACACTCAGGGGGTACAAATAGGAGAGTACCTGATCTAAGGCTTCTTAGAGGCTCTGACGCTGAAGTGGGCAGTGAGGGTGGAAGCTGAACATTGGTACAAAGGGAAAAATCTCATTTATAGGCAGACTCCTTAGGCCCAGACACAGGCTGAGTACAGAGAGACTCCCACACAAGGCCTTCTTGAGGGGAACAGGTGTGGAAGGACACTGGAGTGACCCTGGGCCCTGTTACAACTCCTAAGAGATGCTAAGGCAGGTCACCGAGGATCCATACCAGGCCCTGGCCTCAAACTAACAGCTCACGAATTAACAGGCATTTATTCCAGCTCCAAGACTGAATGAGGTCACTGGCCAGGAAGCCCGCATGCAAAGGAGACCCAGGACTCAGCAGTCATGCTGAGTGGTGAGCTCTGATGGAACCATCCTCACCTCCCAGGGTCCTTTATGATCCACCAGTTATTGATGTCTTTGAAGGGGTAACAGGTCACCTGCTGCTGGTGGGAGCTGCCACGGCCGTTCTCATATCTGCATGAGACACCAACAAAGAATGCACCCTAAGCGGACAGCAAAGACCCATAGGCTACGAGGCTCTCCCTTGGTGTTTGCACCACCCAGCATGACGTGTTACCCAACATTACAGTCTGTCTCAGGGACCAGAGGACATGGAAAAAAACAACATTGCTGTCAGACAGAGCTGCTCAGAGGCACTGGAGGAAACAGATGGCATGCTATAGCAATCCCATTGTTTCACACTGGGCACCACAAAAATCATGAGCCTGGGCTCTGGGCATCTATCTATCCCTGTTGCCTTTGTCCCTCTAAACTTGACCATAGAAAGTGACAGTTCTTAATATAAGCAAATTGGGAGAAAAAATATTTTGTGATTAACAAATCAATTTGTGATTGCAAATTAAAATGGTCACTTTCCTTACATCATAGGGTAGGTGTTCTTGTGGGAATGAAGCCAGCAAGGCAAGGGTTTGCCGAAGACGTTCCTCAGAGTGACCTGGGAACCAAAGGCCACCTCCAGGGGCTGGCCCTGGGTGATGCGGGCTAGCCCTCCCTAAGACAAACAGAAAAGGTTGCAGGTGAGTTTAAGAGAGAAACCATCCTTCTACCCTATGGGTTCCAAGATGGAGAGAGGCATCAGGCTCATGGCAGGCACCCCTATTGTGAAGCTATCTCATCAGACCATGACCAACAATTCTAAACTAGCCTTAGTGACAGATGGGGTAGTGGCAAATATGATCATGTCCTTAATTGTAACTGAATTACAAATTGTGAATGTGCCTGTGCTCCTTGGCAGGCATTCAGGTGACCTTTCCACCATACGTTCCTTTTACCAGTATCCTGTGAGAGTCAAGCAATTGTGTTAAAGAGCTGAGGAAATGAGATCAGAGTGTGGTAACATGTAGGTCCTCAGCAGAGCCAGGATGTATGAGCAGGCCTGCTCAAGGCTACACTCCTTACCACACCTGGTACATTTTATAGGCCAGTAGCCTTTATCTGAAATGTTGAAACCAGAAGTGTTCCAATTTGTGTGTGTGTGTTGGGGGCGAGGGTAGGGGTAGGGGTGGGGCACCCACAATCTGAAAGCTCAAATTGTAAAATGCTTTATAATCCAAAGCTGCCTGAGTGTCATGCTAGCATTCAAGAAGTTCTGGAGATTGAAACATATTGATTTCTGACTTCCATGTTAGAGATGCTTAACCTGCATACACCTGTAGTTAGCATAACATACAGCAGGCTTGAGTCTATCTCACGAGGTGTTTAACTGCAAGTCAGACTAAGAGAGGCAGCCTCACTTGTTCCCACATCATCTGTACTTCAGAACTCCTTTAACAATACCACATGGCTGCCTCATTTCTGGATCACTCACTGTACATTGTTTATTTTTATCTATCTACTATCTATCTATCTATCTATCTATCTATCTATCTATCTA